TCTATACTTTTAAAATTTGCCCAAAATTTAGGAGGTCTTTAGACCGAGCCAACTATACGAGTAACACTTGACCCTCTGTAGATCTGCAATGTCCTAGGATAAATAATTAGTGTGGTACACATCAATCAAATCAAATCACAAACTCTTTTTTTGCAAAAACAAAAATGCCAAAAAAGGACTTAAAAAAAAGAAAACAAGACTTCGAGGGAAGAAGCAGGTAAGTGTTTATCATAAGAATGGTGGTTGTCACTCTAGTTACAAATTGGAAAAAAAAAACAAAAAATTATGTAACATTTCCCAAATTACAAAAACAAATAATGAAATAAAAATAGAACGACCACGGATATTGTTACAGATAATAGCTCAAAGAAACCATACTATAAGAAAGATGAGGATAAAAAAGAGTCGGAGAATTTTACGATTGAAGATATATTGGCAAGTCAAATGGACAATGAAGAAATAGAGTTGGATAATGAAGAATTTGAACAAAGGTACTACAATAATTTCTATTGATGATGATAAATAATATTTTCACATACAAAATTACTATATTAAACAGACTGGCTGATGCAGACATCATCAATAGTAGATCTGCAATGTCCTAGGATAAATAATTAGTGTGGTACACATCAATCAAATCAAATCACAAACTCTTTTTTTGCAAAAACAAAAATGCCAAAAAAGGACTTAAAAAAAAGAAAACAAGACTTCGAGGGAAGAAGCAGGTAAGTGTTTATCATAAGAATGGTGGTTGTCACTCTAGTTACAAATTGGAAAAAAAAAACAAAAAATTATGTAACATTTCCCAAATTACAAAAACAAATAATGAAATAAAAATAGAACGACCACGGATATTGTTACAGATAATAGCTCAAAGAAACCATACTATAAGAAAGATGAGGATAAAAAAGAGTCGGAGAATTTTACGATTGAAGATATATTGGCAAGTCAAATGGACAATGAAGAAATAGAGTTGGATAATGAAGAATTTGAACAAAGGTACTACAATAATTTCTATTGATGATGATAAATAATATTTTCACATACAAAATTACTATATTAAACAGACTGGCTGATGCAGACATCATCAATATAAGTGCTGCTAATTCATTGATAAATAAAAAACTTTTCAACAAACTAAAAGTAACTGCTCAATCTCAGTCTATACCTCGCATTAACGTTGATGAGCTTAAAAAATGGATTAAAAAAAACTACACAGTAAGAAAATAAATGTAATTGTATCTATCCTTGATTTATCCATTTAGTTTACTGATATGGTAGCTTCAAATTTAGCGCAAAGTCAATACCACATTATCAAATCTACAATCAACAACAATGATTGAAGGCTTTGACACAGAACAATTCGACTTTGTAAAGCGAATATTAGAAATGAAACTTATGCAGTTACAAGCTGGACATGGAGAAAAACTTGACTTGTCAATGGATGAAAACACATACACAGCTACAATCGTGTCTCCTGATTTTGAGACTTTGAAGTTATGTTTTCCAGCTCTGTTTATTAGCAGATGGTAAGTCAAACAAGGACAAATATATAATTTCATACTGATTGCTAGTCTAACTATATCCTCTTCAACAGGAATGAAAATGAAGTTCCTTTGTCTAAATGGCGCCGCAAATTGATCTATGGTGTTGGTTATGCACGTAAGGCAGATGGCATCCTTTTTAATTATGGTAATGTTGACCAAGAATTCTTACTCTTTGAGAACGTTGGCCCACCATCAAAGACAAAGGAACCCAAGTATCGTGCAGATCTTCTAAAGTGCTTTCGAAATTCTGTGGATGCAATATGTAAAACTTTTTGGAATGGAAATGGAGACGTGGAATTAGCAAAGAAATACTATGTATTATCATATGTGTTACACGGTGAGTTTTTAATTACCATTTTTTGTTATTTGAAAAGCTATGTCCTATTGACGAAAAAGTCTTGTTCGAAATTCATGCAGAGAATGAAGGTGAACTGTATAGATTGAACCTGGGTGCTCCTAAAGCATTCGTTGCTGAAAAAATACTAAAAGTCAATTACCCTTTTGAGCACACAACCTTCCCTAATATTGTTGACATCGTTGTCCTCCTTTTCACTATTAAGGTAATAAATTTTACAATTCTTTCTTTAATTGGTTAGAATTACACTAACATTTCTGCATGCAGGCTATATTTGAATCCAATCAGAATGTCTTTCATGATTACACCAAGTCATGTATGGAAACGTCTAAAAATTTTACAC